CAACAAATGGGACTTACTCAAACTAAAAAGTTTTTTCTCAGCAAAAGAAACAATAAGAGAGGTAAATAGGGAGCCTACACCCTGGGAACAAATCTTTACTCCTCACACTTCAGATAGAGCCCTAATATCCAGAGTATACAAAGAACTCCAAGAATTAGACAATAAGAGAACAAACAACCCAATCAACAAATGGGCCAAGGACCTGAACAGACACTTCTCAGAGGAGGACATACAGTCAATCAACAAGTACATGAAAAAATGCTCACCATCTCTAGCTGTCAGAGAAATGCAAATCAAAACCACCCTAAGATACCATCTCACTCCAGTAAGATTGGCAGCCATTATGAAGTCAAACAACAACAAGTGCTGGCGAGGATGTGGGGAAAAGGGTACACTTGTACATTGCTGGTGGGACTGCAGATTGGTGCAGCCAATTTGGAAAGCAGTATGGAGATTTCTTGGAAAGCTGGGAATGGAGCCACCACTTGACCCAGCTATTCCCCTTCTTGGTCTATTCCCTAAAGACCTAAAAAGAGCATGCTACAGGGACACTGCTACATCGATGTTCATAGCAGCACAATTCACAATAGCAAGACTGTGGAACCAACCTAGATGCCCTTCAATAGACGAATGGATAAAAAAAATGTGGCATTTATACACAATGGAGTATTACTCTGCATTAAAAAATGACAAAATCATAGAATTTACAGGGAAATGGATGGCATTAGAGCAGATTATGCTAAGTGAAGCTAGCCAATCCCTAAAAAACAAATGCCAAATGTCTTCTTTGATATAAGGAGAGTAACTAAGATCAGAGTAGGGACGAAGAGCAGGAGAAGAAGATTAACATTTAACAGGGATGAGAGGTGGGAGGGAAAGGGAGAGAGAAGGGAAATTGCATGGTAATGGAAGGAGACCCTCAGGGTTATACAGTGGAGGGGGTAGAGAGAGAGGAGGGGAGTGGAGGGGAGAGGTGGGGAGGGGGGAGGGTGGAGGATGGGAAAGGCAGCGGAGCACAACAGACACTAGTATGGCAATATGTAAATCAATGGATGTGTAACTGATGTGATTCTGCAATCTGTGTATGGGGTGAAGGTGGGAGTTCATAACCCACTTGAATCAAAGTGTGGAATATGTCAAGAAATTTGTAATGTTTTGAACATCCAACAATAAAAAATTTTTAAAAAAAAAAAAGGATAGCGGTTTAGAAAGGGCAAAACCAGGGCACACAAAATACTGGGAATTCCCATGACCCTTAAGTGCTTCCTGCTCCAGGAAATAAAGTGTTCACTGGAGGTCACACCTACTACCCAGTGCAAACTAATCCATCACCTCCCAAAAGCTTTTCAAACCAAGATTTCCCCATTTATTTCGGTCCCCAAGCAGTCCTCTTCTCTAGTGGCCTGTAGACTCACTCCCAACTACCCTCCTGGGGGGTAAAAAAAATAAAGGAATTCCCCCTAGGCTGGCCCCAGTAACTCAGCATTAAAGTAAGAAGAAGGGCTGGCAGCCTCCGGGAGACTAAAACAATTTGAGACTAAATCTACCTTTCCAAGGATGGAAAATTTATTCAGATGATGTTTGAGAATTCATATATGCCACAATAGAATAAGAATTAAAAGGTAGAAATCTCACTCTTCCTTACACATCTACCTCCCCTACTGCCCAAGCAATGCAGACATTTTACCACTGTCATTACCATTTCTTCTAAATGGAGGCCCCTAGGCACTAATCACACAGGCAAGTGCATGGTATTGTAAGAACACACCACACACAACTTTTCCATTAAAAAGCTGTAGTCTCTGTCTCTCTGGCTACATTGGCGATTCTCCAGTAACTTCAATACTTTAAAGGCTGCAGCTGCATGCAAAAGAATCTCATTTCATTTTTTAAAAAAAGTTAAGAAAGGTCTCCAGGAGATGGTGAGTTTTATTTGTCTTGTGTGGATAGAGGTTTGATTTGCTCTTAAATGTTCCAGGGTGGAGAGACTAGGAGAAAGCACAGGACGCAGAGGTCTACTCAATGTAGTCTTCTCCCTCATTTCATCTTCACCATCCACAGAGAGAGCGGCATACTTGCTTGCAGAACTGAACTTAGAGGTTGGATTTTCCTCAGGTTTCTTTGGCTCAGGTGCAGATCTGGAGTCTTGATCCTTTTTGCCCTCTTTCCTATCTTGTTCCCTCCATCTCCTAGACCACCGCTGGAGTTCCCAGTTTGGCCTTTTGGGACATTCATTCCATCTATTTTATTATCGTCTTTCCTTGTGGGTCCTTCCTCAGATGGCTGAGCTGGAGCTACTTTCCCCCCAACCACTTGTGGGGGATTCCTGCTCTGTGTCTGAGCTCTGAGATGGAGCAGGAGGGTTAGAACTTTGCTTCACCCACGCATTCTCCTTTGGTGGAGGGGCTCGCATTACCTTTAGAGGCTGATCAGGTTTGGGAGGCTTAGAAGTTGGAGAGTGACAGTCTTCCTCCTTATTGAGTATTTCATTTTCTAGAGACTTCTCTCTCTCCTTCGTGCATTTCTGCCAGGTGTGGCTGAGGTTCCAGTCTGTGATGACTTCCTGTCCTTGACCGTTCCGGTTCCCGAGTTTCTTCACTTGGCCAGCTTGGGTGTCTCTCCCTAGGCCGCCGTTCTAGTTTTGGCTCATCCAACTGGCACTGCAGTTTCTCCTGCTCCTTCTGTAGCCGTTCTTCTACTTCTCTTTCTCTAGCAGCTGTGTCAACAGGTATTGCCCCTCCAAAGATAGAAGCTGCTCCACTGGACTGGGAGGTGCTAGCAGAGGAATCATCTTCCTTAGGTGTACTCCGAGGCTTTAGATTCAGTTTGGGTCTTTGGGC